TTTCTGCCCCAGTAAACAGTCCTGCAACTAAAGCCTAGTTTGTGTGGTTTCTGCCCCAGTAAACATCCCTGCAACTAAAGCTTAGTTTGTGTGGTTTCTGCCCCAGTAAACATCCCTGCAGCTGAAGCCTAGTTTGTGTGGTTTCTGCCCCAGTAAACATCCCTGCAGCTGAAGCCTAGTTTGTGTGGTTTCTGCCCCAGTAAACATCCCTGCAGCTGAAGCCTAGTTTGTGTGGTTTCTGCCCCAGTAAACATCTCTGCAACTAAAGCTTAGTTTGTGTGGTTTCTGCCCCAGTAAACAGTCCTACAGCTAAAGTCTAGTTTGTGTGGTTTCTGCCCCAGTAAACAGTCCTACAGCTAAAACCTAGTTTGTGTGGTTTCTGCCCCAGTAAACAGTCCTACAGCTAAAACCTAGTTTGTGTGGTTTCTGTCCAAGTAAACATCCCTGCAGCTAAAACCTAGTTTGTGTGGTTTCTGCCCCAGTAAACAGTCATGCAGCTAAAGCCTAGTTTGTGTGGTTTCTGCCCCAGTAAACATCCCTGCAGCTGAAGCCTAGTTTGTGTGGTTTCTGCCCCAGTAAACATCTCTGCAACTAAAGCTTAGTTTGTGTGGTTTCTGCCCCAGTAAACAGTCCTGCAGCTAAAGCCTAGTTTGTGTGGTTTCTGCCCCAGTAAACATCCCTGCTGCTAAAGCCTAGTTTATGTGGTTTCTGCCCCAGTAAACAGTCCTACAGCTAAAACCTAGTTTGTGTGGTTTCTGCCCCAGTAAACATCCCTGCAGCTGAAGCCTAGTTTGTGTGGTTTCTGCCCCAGTAAACATCTCTGCAACTAAAGCTCAGTTTGTGTGGTTTCTGCCCCAGTAAACATCCCTGCAGCTAAAACTTAGTTTGTGTGGTTTTTGCCCCAGTAAACAGTCCTACAGCTAAAGTCTAGTTTGTGTGGTTTCTGTACAGTAAACATCCCTGCAGCTAAAATCTAGTTTGTGTGGTTTCTGTACAGTAAACAGTCCTACAGCTAAAACCTAGTTTGTGTGCCTTCTGTACAGTAAACAGTCCTACAGCTAAAGTCTAGTTTGTGTGGTTTCTGCCCCAGTAAACAGTCCTACAGCTAAAGTCTAGTTTGTGTGGTTTCTGCCCCAGTAAACAGTCCTACAGCTAAAACCTAGTTTGTGTGCCTTCTGTACAGTAATCAGTCCTACAGCTAAAACCTAGTTTGTGTGCCTTCTGTACAGTAAATAGTCCTACAGCTGACATTTCATCTCTAATACCTTAAATTAATTACTATTATGTCTGAATGAGGGCTGCCTACTGTGTGGTTCCATTATTTACTCTGCATATATTCAACTTTCTAGTGTATAGTTAACTATGAATATATATATATATATATATATATATATATATATATATATATATATATATATTATATATATATATATATATATATATGAATACACTATACAGTACAGTTACATGTAATTTTGTTTTGTTTAATCTGCAGGTGCTCGTTTGAATGGCAGCATCGTGATTATTTTTTATCAGTATGAGTTCCTGGTGAAATTTACTGACAACACACCCAATGTGTTTAAGGCTGGGCTGTCATATACATCCTATGTAAGTTGATTCTCTGCTGTTTAACACTGTGGCAGCACAGGGGATATTACTCTAGTTGAGAGAAACTATTTGAATGTTGTGTTTGACGTTGACAGAGAATACTTCTCTATGTGTGGGTGATGTTAAGGGAGAATACTTCCTTGTGTGTGGGTGATGTTGAGAGAGAATACTTCCCTGTGTGTGGGTGATATTTAGGGAGAATACTTCCCTGTGAGTGGGTGATGTTTAGTAAGAATACTTCCCAGCCTGTGGGTGATGTTTAGGGAGAATACTTCCCTGTGTGTGGGTGATGTTTAGTGAGAATACTTCCCCACCTGTGGGTGATGTTTAGTGAGAATACTTCCCTGCCCGTGGATGATGTTTAGTGAGAATAATTCCCTGTGTGTGGGTGATGTTTAGTGAGAATACTTCCCTGTGTGTGGGTGATGTTTAGGGAGAATACTTCCCTGTGTGTGGGTGATGTTGATGGAGAATACTTCCCAGCCTGTCGATGATGTTGATGGAGAATACTACCCTGTGTGTGGGTGATGTTTAGGGTGAATACCACCCTGTGTATGGGTGATGTTGATGGAGAATACTTCCCAGCCTGTGGGTGATGTTGATGGAGAATACTACCATCTGTGTGGGTGATGTTTAGGGAGAATACCTACCTGTGTGTGGGTGATGTTGAGGGAGAATACTTCCCTGTGTGTGGATGATGATAAGGGAGAATACTTCCCTGTGTGTGGGTGATGTTGAGGGAGAATACTTCCCTGTGTGTGGGTGATGTTGAGGGAGAATACTTCCCTGTGTGTTGGTGATGTTGAGGGAGAATACTTCCTTGTGTGTGGGTGATGTTGAGGGAGAATACTTCCCTGCGTGTGGGTGATGTTTAGTGAGAATACTTCCCTGTGTGTGGGTGATGTTGAGAGAGAATACTTCCCTGTGTGTAAGTGATGTTAAGTGAGAATACTTCCCAGCCTGTGGGTGATGTTGAAGGAGAGTACTTCCCTGTGTGTGGGTGATGTTGAGGGAGAATACTTCCCTGTGTGTGGGTGATGTTAAGGGAGAATACTTCCCTGTGTGTGGGTGATGTTTAGTGAGAATACTTCCCTGCCTGTGGGTGATGTTTAGTGAGAATACTTCCCTGCCCGTGGGTGATGTTAAGTGAGAATACTTCCCTGTGTGTGGGTGATGTTTAGTGAGAATACTTCCCTGTGTGTGTGTGATGTTGATGGAGAATACTACCCTGTGTGTGGGTGAATTTTAGGGAGAATACCTCACAGTGTGTGGGTGATGTAAATGGAGAATACTTCCCTGTGTGTGGGTGATGTTGATTAAGAATACCTCCCTGTGTGTGGGTGATGTTGATAGAGAATACTTCCCTGTGTGTGGGTGATGTTGATAGAGAATACTTCCCTGTGTGTGGGTGATTTTGATAGAGAATACTTCCCTGTGTGTGGGTGATGTTAAGGGAGAATACTTCCCTGCCTGTGAGTGATGTTTAGTGAGAATACTTCCCTGTGTGTGGGTGATGTTTAATAAGAATACTTCCCTGTGTGTGGGTGATGTTAAGGGAGAATACTTCCCTGTTTGTGGAGGGATGTTATGGGAGAATGCTTCCCTGTGTGTGGATGATGCTGAGGGAGAATACTTCCCTGCCTGTGGGTAATGTTGAGGGAGATTACTTCCCTGTGTGTGGGTGATGTTAATGAACACAAAATTATTTAGGGAGAGTGAATAAAACACACACAGAGAGAGAGAGAGAGAGAGAGAGAGAGAGAGAAGAGAGAGAGAGAGAGAGAGAGAGAGAGAGAGAGAGAGAGAGAGAAATATAGAGACTAGGATGGACACTGAGTCTGAAAGATATGTTTTCTGCTTTATATGCCTAAGACAGATCTGCAGCATTTACGGGTTTTTGATTACCTGATGTCTTTGGGCAATAGCCAATACCCCTGTAAAACAACAGTGATGGTATTGATTGCAGCTGTATAGTATGTAGACATGGTGGGTATGATTGTATTTACTTTTAAAAGAATACATATAATGTAGGGTTAAAATCAGGTATTTTTGGTGTGGTCACTGTGATGTAGTTGGCGTGTATGGCTTTGGCATTGCACCAGTCGATCACCTTATCTACTGTTGTCTGTAACTATTCAGATATTTGATTCTGATCTCTCCCCTTCCTATATACAAGAACATCATCTGCAAATGTCAATATTCTGCCAACTCCAGGTGTTTCCAGGCTCATAAAAACATTGAATAGGGCAGGAGAAACTGCAGATCCCTGTGGTAGTCCTGGAGCTATAAAACATGGTTCAGAGGCCCATGAACCAAGGCGGAGAGCTACCCGGCGAGTATACAAAACGGCTGCTATCCAATTCACCAACCAAGGACAGACTTCCTTCTCAATAAGCGCTTTCATCAAGATACTGTTTCTGACTCTATTGTAAGCATCTTCTAAACTGAGTGCCACTGCCACCGTTTCCTGTCTGTTCTGGAAACCTTCAAATGTATCAAAATCAAAAGTGGCTTCATTTGACCATGTGTCCTTTCCTGGCCGGTAACTTCCCAATCTTCAAAGAAGGAGATTTCTCTGTTCCAAAAATTCTTTTAGCTCACCCGCCGCTTTCTTCTCCAGCACTTTACAAAAAGATTTTTGTAGAGGTATGATCCTAAAGCCGCCGAGTGTTGAATGATTCTTGCCAAGCTTAGGAAGTGGAATCAGGTAGCTGTGCATCCACTCTTCTGGGACTGAAGCTGTCCTAATGCTCTGGTTGAAGCAAGCAGTCATCTCCAACAGGTTTGCATCCCTTTGGTCTTTCATGTGGGAATACCTAACCCCGTCGGGCCCAGGAGCCATGTCTTTCGCCCTTTTCAGAACACGTTTTACATCTTCCACCTGTATGATGTCTTCATAAGGTTTGTTCTTTAAGATGGCTGCCAGATCTTCTCTAACTCTATCTCTGTTATCTCCATCATTGTGGTCTGTCTGTGAAATAAACCCTCTTCAGGACAGCTTCCCCCTTCTCTTTGTCTGTAGTTAATAGCATACCGTCATCTCTATGGATTGCTCCTACGACACTAGGCCGGTCTTTCTTGAGCATCTGCCTATGTAGCTTCCAAAACTTTACCAATGTCTTATCGCTCCCAATCTCATCAATAAAATGCTCCCATTTTGCTTTTTTTTTTTTTTTTTCCTTTTCCGCATAGCGCTTCAAAATACTCTATCTGATCTTTTTTATCTCTTTCCACGCATCCGTTTCCATTAGGTGTTCGGAAAAGTATAAGAATTGGCTTCTTTTTTAGCAATGTTTAGGAAAAGGTTATTTGTTTTCTTTTGGGAAAAGATGACTAACAGCCTTGTTTTTGACCAAGGCATAGAATGACACATACCCTTATTTAATGCATAGATTCAAGTGACCACACCAGACGGCAAACCTCCGGTAAACAAAAACATCACCGTCTCTGTGTACACAACTGTGAACTACCAGCTCACCGTCCCTGACCAAGCACTGTACAATGTTGATCAGTTCACTGGAACTTACGGTCTACCTGGGCAAAATCTGACTCTCCCCGCTAGTGGTCTGCTGGCTGTTAACATTGAGATTCCTAAAAATGCTACCAGCATTACAATTCAGGTATGTCACAAGTCTGTCTATGTCACAAGTCTGTCCATGTGTCAAGTCTGTCCATGTAACAAGTCTGTCTGTCTGTGTCAAGTCTGTCCATGTAACAAGTCTGTCTATGTGTCAAGTCTGTCCATGTAACAAGTCTGTCTATGTGTCAATATGTCCATTAACAAGTCTGTCTATGCATCTAGTCTGTCTATGTGTTTAGTATGTCCATGTTTTTAGTATGTCCATGTGTTTAGTGTGTCCATGTGTTTAGTATGTCCATGTTTTTAGTATGTCCATGTGTCTAGTATGTCCATGTGTCTAGTATGTCCATGTGTTTAGTATGTCCATGTGTCTTGAATGTCCATGTGTCTAGTATGTTCATGTGTCTAGTTAACTAGTATGTCCTCATGTCTAGTATGTCCATGTGACTAGTATGTCTATGCATTTAGTATGTTCATGTGTCATATAGGTCCATGTGTTTCATATGTCCATGTGCCTAGTTGACTAGTATGTCATTGCATCTAGTATGTTCATGTGTCTAGTATGAACATGTGTCTAGTATGTCCATGTGACTAATATGAACATGTGTCTAGTATGTCCATGTGACTAGTATATCTATGTGGCTGGTATGTCCTTGCATCTAGTATGTCTATGTGTCTCATATGTCCATGTGTCTAGTTGACTAAAATATCCAGGCGTCTAGTCTGTCCATATTTCTAGTATGTCTATGTGACTAGTCTGTCAATATGTCTAGCATGTCCATGTGTCTAGTTATCTAGCCTGCCGATGTGTCTAGTCTATGCATGTATGTACTGTCTTTGTCTTCAGGTTGTACATCTTTCTGGTCTGTCCTTATGTCTCTGTCCATGTATTTAGTCTGTCCATGTGTTTAGTCTGTCCATGTATCTAGTCTGTCCATGTATTTAGTCTGTCCATGTATCTAGTCTGTCCATGTATCTAGTCTGTCCAGGTATCTAGTCTGTCCATGTATCTAGTCTGTCCATGTATTTAGTCTGTCCATGTGTTTAGTCTGTCCAGGTATCTAGTCTGTCCATGTATCTAGTCTGTCCATGTATCTGTCTGTCCATGTATCTAGTCTGTCCATGTATCTAGTCAGTCCATGTATCTAGTCTGTCCATGTCTCTAGTCTGTCCATGTATTTAGTTTGTCCATGTATCTAGTCTGTTAATTATCTAGTCTGTCCATGTAGCTAGTCTGTCCATGTATTTAGTCTGTCCATGTATCTATTCTGTCCATGTATCTAGTCTGTCCATGTGTCTAGTCTGTCAATTATCTAATCTGTCCATGTATCTAGTCTGTCCATGTATCTAGTCTGTCCATGTATCTCGTCTGTCCATGTATTTAGTCTGTCAATTATCTAGTCTGTCCATGTATCTAGTCTGTCCATGTATCTCGTCTGTCAGTTATCTAGTCTGTCCATGTATCTCGTCTGTCCATGTATCTAGTCTGTCCATGTATCTAGTCTGTCCACATATTTAGTCTGCCAATGTATCTAGTCTGTCCATGTATCTAGTCTGTCCATGTATCTAGTCTGTCCATGTATCTCGTCTGTCAATTATCTAGTCTGTCTATGTCTGTCAATTATCTAGTCTGTCCATGTATCTAGTCTGTCCATATATTTAGTCTGTTCATGTATCTAGTCTGTCCATGTATCTAATCTGTCCATGTATCTAGTCTGTCCATGTATCTAGTCTGTCGATGTATTTAGTCTGTCCATGTATTTAGTCTGTCAATGTATCTAGTCTGTCAATTATCTAGTCTGTCCATGTATCTAGTCTGTCCATGTATCTATTCTGTCCATGTATCTAGTCTGTCCATGTATCTAGTCTGTCAATTATCTAGTCTGTCCATGTATCTAGTCTGTCCATGTATCTAGTCTGTCCATGTATCTATTCTGTCCATGTATCTAGTCTGTCCATGTATCTATTCTGTCCATGTATCTAGTCTGTCCATGTATCTATTCTGTCCATGTATCTAGTATCTTCGTCTTCATCCTGTAAATCGTCTAGTCTGTCAGTTTATGCAGTGTCCATATCTACTTTTTTATTATCTGGGGGGGGGGGGGGGAGTATATTAAAATCACTGCCTTGGGGACTTTGGACATGAACTAAAGAAATTCCAGTGAATAAGCAGGTGAGGAAGAGACGCTGCTGTTGGATAGGACACACTTTTGTAAGAACACATGAAAAGAGTGTAACTAGAATGCTATTGCACCAGAACTCAAACATTCACATTAATAAAGACACACACATGCATACACATACACATACAC